ACTGCAGTCTGCTGCTTGGTGAACTGGGAGACAGATAGAAGTCCTTAATGAACGGCCTGAAGTCTGTTGCTTTTGATTGCCTGCTTGCCAGGAAAGGGACTTGATAGTGTTGTCAGATATGCTAATGCTAACAAGGTAAATATTGGCTGAACTGGAGCTGGGAGGGAGGTGGCCACTGAACTGACATTTTGCATGGGTGAAAATAAGCAACGTTTGAAGCGACACCAATCTCTCCCTATATTCTGATAGAAGGGCTCTCTGTTGCACTGGAACTTGGGTTCAAAGACTTGAAAAGCTGCATTCTTGCTAAGACTTGCTGGTTAAGTTTCTATAAAAGGTAAAGGTTCCCTTGCTTGAAAGCCAGTCGAATCCGACTCTAGGGTTGCGGTGCTCATCTCCGTTTCAAAGCCGAAGAGCCAGCGCTGTCCGAAGATGTTTCCGTGGTTATGTGGCCGGCATGACTAAACACCAAGGCGCACGGAACACTGTTACCTTCCCACTGAAGTGGTACCTATTTATCTACTTGCAATTTCTTGCTTTTGAACTGCTAGGTTGGCAGGAGCTGGAACTAGAGACGGGAGCTCACTCCATCATATGGCACCCGGGTCTCGAACTGCTGAACTACTGACCTTTCACAGCCTGCAGTTCAGCGTCTTAACCACTTGAGCCACCGCAGCTCCTGCAGCTCCTAAGTTTCTATAGTTATGCATAATTATCCTTGAACCTAGATTTGGCTAGTGTTAGAGGGCCTTTTAGCAATTTGTGAAGCATTTTTTAAAAATGTGCATCTCTGGCTTGCATATTGGGTTCTCCTTTGGCAACAGTTCACCAACTTCTATATTGTCAGAAAATGGACAGGTTCATAACTAAAAGTGGACACCAACAATTGCTAGATTTCAAGTGCAGAGCAGCAGTGGACATGCTCTTTGAGGAGCTTTTGGGGAAAACATATGAAATATGTGAACAGAACAACATACCGTAGCTGTTGATATAGCTGAAAGGGGAAGTAAAAGAACAAGGAAGGAGAAACATTTTAAGGATTTCATTACTGAAGGAAGATTTGTAAAATCAAACAGGTCTTTTTTTACTGTCTGTACTGGTTCCTTTAGTTACTTTTGTAGCAGCACAAGTGGTTTGCAGTTACTGTGACTCTGGTTGGAGTGAGAACCCGTTGTCTGTACATGTACTGAGTTCCCTTCAGTACACTGGACAGATCCTCTAGCATGAGTACATTGGAGCAGTTCATCTAGCACTTCTGGTCTCCCTTGCTTGAAAGCCAGTCGAGTCCGACTCTAGGGTTGCGGTGCTCATCCCCGTTTCAAAGCCGAAGAGCCAGCGCTGTCCGAAGACGTTTCCGTGGTCATGTGGCCGGCGTGACTAAACACCAAGGCGCATGAGAGAACTGTGCAATTCAGAACTTGTTCTAATGTCCAGGCCTTGTACCTTAATGGAACTCTTTCTGACAAGGAGTTCTTGCAGGATGAAGACATGAGGTTCCCTTATACTAAATCAAACCATTGGTTCATCAAGGCCAGTATTGTCTACTCAGTCTGGCAGCCGCTCTCCAAGGTCTCAGGCAGTGATCTTTCACATCTGGTCCTTTTAATTGGAGATACCGGGGATTGAACCTGGGACTGGGGATTGAACCTGGGACCTTCTGCATGCCAAGCAGATGCTCTAACATTGAGCCATGGCCCCTCCCCAAATATTGGCTCAGGAACCTCTGTATGTTGAAGAGAACTGTTCATAGAAGGCCATGGATAAACTAAGAGTATCCCACAATGCACCCCAGCCGTCTGGTTTCAGTTGAGACAGCCCTGTTTTCCAGGGCTCTACTCTTTAGAAAACCCACCCTCTACAATCCCATTTAACTGCAAACTCTGGAGCACAACGGAAGACGGGGAGGGCCTGGCGTGAGGTCCCATGGGGTCACAAAGAGTCAGACTTGACTGTGCAACTGAACAACAACAAGGAACCTGGGTAAGCTTCAGCAAAATATGAGTTCTCTGGAAATGTTTGAAAACCTCTGGACTAGATCTGAAGGCTGAAGTCCTTGTAATAGGAGTTTGGGGCATACAATAAGCTTCATTTTCAGTAGCTGATTGAAGACTTTTTTTAAAAAAAGGCTTCAGTGCATAAATGTGAAATACAGCAAGGAGCCATTTTGAATACACTTGTATCACTCATCAGAGAACTAGGACTGGAAGCCACTCCCTATCAAGTGTACACAGTAAAGCAGTGAGCTCGGTTTGCTGTGTAATGGCTGAAATGGCCCTTACATACAGTGCCAATGAAACAGCAGCAGTTCTACTTTTCTGTCTCACAGTGCAGCCCTAAGCAGAGCTATACTCTCTCTTTAGGACTGCACTGTTCGTCTCATTCAGTCTTTTCTGATTCCCTTTGGAACTATGCTGTGGGCTCATAAGATCCTCATGTACAGAGATCATGTGTGATGGGAGCTGTAGCACAGAGGCAGATTGGGTAGGATTAAATGAAAAAAGTGGCAGGATCCAACCCATTGTGTATAGAAACTTGTACTTTTCCTTTCCAGAAGTGAAAGAAATGGTCTCGAATATTCTTGTCCATGTGACCTTGGGAGGTTTGCTAGTTCACAGCTCCGGGGAAATTACTATTGTTCATAGAGCCTCTTTTACACTTTTGACTGGCAGACTTAAGCATTTGGAAGAAAATTCATACCAACAGAATGCTTCATTATGCTCCAGAAGTTTTCCAGTCCACTATGTTTGCCTTTATTTAGAGACTTGTCTTTGGGCCTTAGCCAGTTATTAACAATAACATCTGGATATGGATAATATCATAACCAGCATTCTATGGCTTAAGGGACCAAACTATGGTTTGGTGCTATGTGAACAAACCCCTGTTCTGTCAGGCCCCCCCCCCCTTCTCCTCACCTTGTGTGCTCCAAGTCTACCTTGAGTCTCCTTCAGAAACAAAGCAAATAAGTAACTAGTTAGTGGACATATTTTAGTGCAAGTCCTAGCTGCCTGTTCTATCTGAACTGGCAAACTGGCAAAACAGAATTGCAAACCAAAACACGGTTTGGAATCCCAGTATGGAGGGAGAACATAGATCCTACTGTGCCAGCTCAGATATACTGACAAACTAGAGAGCCAGCTTAAAGGAGCTGGGAAACCCAGGTTCAGATCCCCACTCTCCCCTGGGAACTTGCTAGGAGACCTCCGGCCAGTCACACATTCTCAGCCTAACCTGCCTCACAGGATGGTGGTTGTGAGGTAGTAGGCCCCTTTGGGTTCCGATTGGGGAGAAAGGTAAAGGTAAAGGTTTCCCTTGCTCGAAAGCCAGTCGAATCCGACTCTAGGGATGCAGTACTCATCTCCATTCCCAAGCTGAAGAGCCAGCGCTGTCCAAAGACGTTTCCATGGTCATGTGGCCGGCGTGACTAGATGCCGAGGTGCACGGAACGCTGTCACTTTCCCACCAAAGTGGTACCTATTTATCTACTTGCAATTTCTTGCTTTTGAACTGCTAGGTTGGCAGGAGCTGGGACCAGAGACGGGAGCTCACGCCATCATGCGGCACACTCGGGTCTCGAACTGCTGAACTACCGACCTTCCAGTCTGCAGTTCAGCATCTGAACCACTTGAGCCACCGCATGGCATGGTATAAATAAACAAGTTTGTGCTCAGACGAATAATTGACTGTGTGCACCAGAATGCTTCACAGATATGACCAGAGGTCATTTCGGGGGGATCGCAGGGGATCGCAGTTCCCCCGGGTGAGGTACGGGGAGGGGGGGCACATGACGAAGCCCCGCCCCCTGCTTCCGGCCGCCCCGCTTC